TATATATATCCTCCAAACTAAAATTAGTTTCATAATATTTTTATAACTGTTTCTTAAACAACTGAAAAACATCATTCATTTGGATAAGATTCAGAAAACCTATGAACGTAAACAAAACACTAAATTAACTCTATATCCTATTTTTTATTATAGTTCTAAAAGAAATAAATATATTAGTTATAAGATGTCACATGTGTTTTATGTATATTAAATGCTATACATTTTATAGTTGATTAATTGCAGAACTTACAAACATAATGTATTCATATATTTGTATGTTATATTTTACATTTTGCTTATGTGCTGATTAATGGTAGGCTCTCATGTGACAACTTGCCTCATATACTCTAATAACATTATCTGCTATTGGGGCATGTTGTCACAAAAGTTAAATGAACTGTATATTATTTATGTATGTATGTATGTATGTATGTATGTATATATGTATTTATTTATTTATTTATTTATTTTCCCCTAGTCAATAGTGTAAAAAGTAGTCCCGGCCTCCCTTATTTAATCTAATGTACTTTTTGCCTAATGATTTGCCTTTTCAATACAAATAAGGTATTTTCAGTTATCATGGAGAACTGAGCAGGGGTGCAGCCTTCATACAACATGAGTCAGACTGATACCACAAAAATGAAACCAGGACCCAGTCGACTGTCATCTACACTGCTGTCATAGACACTTGTGCTATTGAATAAATAGACCAAACCACAACAAATTACATTCATAACATCCTGAAACTATATGTAAGGACATTTAGCTGGTACTTATTACAAATCATACCCAGGCAGAGTGATCTATAGAAAATGTTATTTTGTAATAATAACTCTCTGACTGTGCATTTTCCATCTTATTACGCCAGCCAGCCAGACAGACAGCCAGACAGCCAGACAGACAGACAGACAGACAGACAGACAGACAGACAGATAATTGATTTGAGTTGAAATTATATACCTTACCTGGAGAGGTCAGCTTTGGCCATCATTCATAAACATTTGACCACTTAATATTATATAATATAATATAATATAATATATATAGGGGGTTTTAATTAATTCAACCTGTTGTGAATTTGATTTCGTCCCACAGTAAGTAAGAAAAGCACATGCTGGAAGCCATAAACAGTATCGTTCTCAAAAAACGGGGTTTTGTATTGGCCATGGGAAACGTCTGTCGGGGCAGTTATCACGACAGGTTACTGTAAATTAATCACACTACTCTCTTGGTTTGCCTGTTAGTGAAATAGTTTTTTTTTTGTTTTTTTGCCACTGGCTAAAAATACTGAAGGCGTGCTTTACAACGTCGACAATCGGTAGGAGCGGCGTGCGGGAATATTATCGCCCCGCCCACTTGGTTTTTTTTTTTTTCCTCTTTTTTTTCTCTTTTCTCGTGAGCATAAAACTGCACTGGGAGCCTCATGAACACAGCATAACGCGTCCAGCGCTCCTTCGCAACTTCTTACAGCAACATTCCTTCACAACAACACGTACTTCACTATGTCCGATACGCTGGGCGAAAGTCTCATACGGGTAAGTTCAATTGAGTTTACGTGTGTTTTGTTTTTTGTTTGTTTCTTTTTCCTTTTGGGACCGTGTTAGAATTGGCAAGTGTGTTTCATCCTCCTGATTCATATTGTTATTCTTTTTTTTTTTCCAGAATCTCATCAACCTGGGTTTAGATGAGCCGTTTCTACAACTATCCCGCCCGTTCGCACCGAAGAGCATCAGCTCCGAGCGGCTCACCGACGACGTCTGGCCGGCGGACTCCCGGAGCGACCGAGCGCCAAGCAAAGCCCAGTTTCCCCTTAAAGCAGACCGATCCATGAGTCTGACTGACACCTTCAACAGAATGAAGCCCCACGACGTCCCACCACCGCCCGGATTTCCTCCCCTGGCACCCCTGCCTTCGAACCGGTACAAGACCGAGCTGTGCCGAAGCTTTCAAGAGCACGGCAGCTGCAAATACGGCAGCAAATGTCAGTTCGCCCACGGCGAGAGCGAGCTGCGAGGTCTAAACCGCCATCCCAAATACAAAACTCAAGCCTGTCGCACTTTCTACCAGTTTGGATACTGTCCGTACGGAAGCCGCTGTCACTTCCTCCACGGGGCGAAAAACTCTCTGGACGGGGACGACCAGAACCCGCGTCAGCTGCGTCAAAGCGTCAGCTTCGCCGGTTTCACTCGCAGCAACTCTCCCCCGACTTTATACGAGCCCCTGAGCTTCACCCGTGCGCCTTCGGTCTCTCCCCCTCCCGCTGACATCTTGTCCCCAGTCTTCAGCGACTCTTCTCGAGACATGTTCCCCTTCAGCCGTCACAGTACCGGAGATATCTACAACAACGCGCCCTTCACGCCAGAGCCTCGGTCACGATGTGTCTGCGGACACGGAAATAACTTCCAGGGCTCCAGCAACGAGCTGTACATGAAGGAAGACCTGAGCAAAGCCAACCTGCAGCGCTTTTCCTCAGAAGACTCGCTGTCAGACCGCGAAAGTTACAGCAGCACCGGCAGCTCGAGCGGCTCTGAGTCACCCACCTTCGACGGCTCGAGCGGGAAGCGCCTCTCTGTTTTCGCGCGGATGTCTGTGTCTGACTAAGGACTTTACCGCCATTCCTTCCCAATCGTTCAGTCAGTCAAATATAATATGCAACGAGTCTTAATACTGTTAATTTATATATATTTTTTTTTATAATGGTGTTGTAGCCTATTATTTTCGGTGATATTGTCTTCCATTTGCTTATGCTTTTCTTGCTTTTCAACGTTGTTTAGCAGTGAGCATTGCAGACAAGTGCCTTAAAATATCATAACCTATGCTAGTGGCATAAGTAGAGCTCGTGTCAAATATATATGTGCATATATAATTATGTATGTATATATCATATATCCAGTGTGTGAATTAGGGGGTTGGATTTTTAAAGGAATTTCTAGCCGTTTTTGGGAGAAGTCAGTTCCCCAAATAATTTGCACCCTTTGTATATCAACCAACAATGTGATAAACTTGAGAAAATGACCATACATTCACTCACAAAGAATGCACTTTACAAATCAATACCGGGTGAATGTTTCCATGTAGCATTTTAACCAAAGCATTATGATGTTAGGTGCCTGTTTTGTACAAGAAAACTAAACAAACCTAAAAACAATATATTTATATTGAACAAGAGCTGTCAAGTTAATGTTTTGACAACCCTGGTTGGGTCCTTACTCAAGGAAACTTGTCTTTTATCAGGGACTGTAACAGAACAGTATTTCTGTAGAATAGTTTGCTTCATTTGCAATGTTTTTTTTTTGTTTTGTATTTTTTTGTAATTGTAATTGTATAGACCTAACTAATATATTTATTGAGTATTTATTGAAGGTATAGTAATGTATTTTTTACTTATTTATCAACATGTGTCATGGCCTTTGAAAAAATTAAAAAAGCGTTGACACAAAATAATTCAAATGATTTCATTTGACCAAAATAATGTAATAAATGCAAATTGTGGAAAAAAAAAAAAAAATGTACTGAACTTGATGTTTCCTCTGCCAAATGCACCACAAAATCACAAGAATATAAACTCATATCACCTACAGTGTTCTTCACCCACCTACATTTCAAAATCACTTCATCACATGCCTAAGAAAAAAAATGCTGTTTTGTAAATACTTGGAGCAGGATTAAGTTCATATTTGGCATACACAGAGATATTTCACACAACAACACTGAGATCTGACCTGAATCTCCAAATGCATATGACAAAACAAAGTCTGAAGCAACCAATAGCTGTCTGTGGAGATTAAATCTGTCCTGCGTTTCCTGTGATGTTGTCAGCTTCGAGATCTGTGAGCTGGCCAGTTTAATGGAGTGCAGTGAGATCTTATTGAGCGTTACACTGGCGCATGGCAGTGCCGTGCAATACATAAACCTTCGCATTGCCTGCTACTTACGTTGAATGTTAAAGAATTAGGAACCTGAATGCATTTGAACTAAACTCGTGTTAATGAACCCTTTATAACTCTTAATGTTTAACTGACCAGAGTCTCTCTTAACCTTTTCATAAACCAATGCAAACAAGACATCCCAATATGCAAACATATGCTTATTGTGCAACCTGATCAAATGACTTAAAATCATTTGTGTAGTGCTTTTGACAATACATACTGTTTCAAAGCTTTGCAAAGAATCGCACCATACAAACCCACTAGGAGAGCAATCCACAGGCCACAGCAACAACCTGTATGACTTTTTTCTTCTGTAGAGATTTTGAAGAATGCATTTATTATTCATTTTCAGAATTCATTTTCAGTTACTGGGGCAGTACCCAAATATGTACCATTAAGATGCTAATATGTACACTTGAGGTGTACTATTAGCACCTCAGGTAGTAAGGTACTAATATGCACCTTTCAGGGGTAAATAAACAAAGGTGTACCTTTTTTAAAAAAAATTACTATAATTATTATAATTAT